TTTCATTTTTTTTTTTTTACTTGCAAGATTTAGAACCAACAATTTTATGCATTTATATAAATAGGCTGGAGCAAGAGGCTCGCAAGAATTAACTCATGAGTTAGAAGTGGAATTTATAGATCCAAGTATTCTATATGAAGAACGGCTCAAGGTTGAAAACCAACAAAAAAACCGTTATTTTGAGATTGTTGAACATTTTCTCAACAATATCAGAGTTTTAGCTAATAAAGTCCTTTGATTCTAGATTAAATTTTTTTTTTATGAAATATATATATCGATCGATCGGAAAATATATGAAACGTAAGGTGAAAGTTAGGGATATAAAAGGAGGAAAAGCACACTATTTTATAAACAATTTTTAGACTATATCAAAAAAAAGCCTTTGTAGTAAAATTCTTTGCATAAAAATACGTAGAACTTAAAGCAACACATTTAGGTTATGATATCCTTCATACAAATTTTTTTTATATATCTTGTTTAATAATTTCCTAAAAGAAAATTCGTGAGACATTAATTTCAATAAGGATTTAAAATAATAATTTATTAAACTTTAATAAGATGACTATTAAACGAAATTTTGTCAAATACACTCCCTACCAAAAAGTTTATCGTTAATTTTCATTAGACTCTAATAAATAAATTTATTATCTTTATATTTGCATTTTAATTAAAAATAAAAAAGTTTAATATATTGCATTTTTTTTTTAGAAAATCATTTTTAAAGAAAATTTTATAAGAATGTAATATTTAAAACGATATTTATTCAAAGTTTAAATTGTGTATAACAATTTCGAAAAAAAACTTTTTAAAACCATAATCCTATCCATAACTACTATATAAGTAAAATTTTCATTAAAAATCTTTAAAAAAACTTAATTACCAAATCAATTTCCTATATTACCTATATATAAATTTTAATTAAAATATTCGCTAATATCTAGTTGGAAAGCCGCGTACCTTTTCATCCGATTTTCCATACTGCTAACCAGATTCTGATAAACCTCACTGGAATTTGTGACCATGATTCTTGCAAGAATTTTTCTAATTCGTTCATGTTTTTTTGGGTTTTCTTTTCGTGATCGGATGTTACGTTCAAAAACATCCCATAAGTGCTCGATAGGGTTTAAATCAGGACTTTGTCCAGGCTATAGTAAAAGAATTATCTCATTTTCTTCAATGAAAGTTTCGTGTTGTCTACTTGTATGGATCAGCGCGTTATCTTGCTAAAAAAATACCCCCATTTTCCTCTTCAAATTCTTCTAAAAATGGTATTAAATGGTAGCCAAGAAGTTCTTCTATATATCTCTCACTATTTATCCATCCATCAATCCTTACTAAAGGACCCAACCCATATCATGAAAACACCCCACATCATAATTCCACCTCTGCCATGCTTTACCATTGAAACAAGGCAATTAATGTCATATTTTCCTTTGGGAGAGGCCAAACATGAATTTTCCCATCATTCTGGTATAAGATAAACCTTGATTTTTCACTCCAAACAACCCTTTTCTAATCATTTATTGTCTAAGAACGCCTTTTTCAGGATTATTTTAATTGAAAATGTCTATTTATTTCACTTATATAAGGCTTTCGAAGGGTAATTCGACTATGGTATACAAGTTTATAAGTGCACTTCGCATAGTATTTATACATACTTCCTTTCCAGTTGAATTTACAAAAATTTCTCATAATTTTCCTGCTAGTTCACATCTTTCTTTACTAATAATAAGCTTTAAATGTCGTTTATCCTATTCATCCAATTTTTTAGATCATCCACTTCAAAGAAAATACCTGTTTTACAATATTTTGATATTGTATTATGGATAGCTATTTTTGAATGATTTGTTTTTTCAGATATGGTCCTCTCAGAATCTTCTGCTTAGTAAAAACCAATAATCTTTTCACATTCAAATTCTGTAAGCTGTTTTTTTTTAGCTATGAATAAAGAAAGTAAGAAAAAAGCCAAGTAACATAAAAAAAGAAAGAAGAAAAATATAGGATAATCATCTGATTATTGAATTATAATAAATATTTATACCAATTTCACGTGATTTTAAATGATCTACAAATTATAGGGTGGTCTTAAACTTTTGGTAGGAAGTGTATTAGATTGACAGTATTTAGTATATTGGAAGATGCAATCATTTAGATATTCTTAGGATATATATTAATGTATACAATTAAGTGATCCTTGATCAACTGCTATTGTTTGTTTCCATTCTCATATTTATATTTTGATCTTATATTTTGCAAATTTATCTATTACTTTCTAATGGTTCAGATTTTAAATTCTTGACTAAATCTTATCGCTTTTATTGAATAGCAATTTTAGTTTAATTATTTTGCTGGATAATTTAAAGAACTGATTTACTGATTTTTTAATTTATAAAATATTTCACTTACTGGAATCATATCTAACTTTATCTGATTAAAATTTTTGTTTCTTTTCTTTAAAATAAAACTCATTATAATCTTATAGTATTTTACTAAATATTATCTATAATATTTCTCAAATTGTCATATTAATTCTAATATAATATAAATTGTGAGTAAATATATCTAATTTAAAAGACTTTATTGTTATAACTATTAATTCTAAAGTTTTTATTATCAAATTATATATTATTTTTATTAATAATTGATTTTAAAGTAATTAAAAATAATTTAAGATATATAAAACTTGTTATAACTTTTAATTTGAATTTGTTATAAATTTCTGCTACTATTAATTTTATAATATTACTAGAAAATAGTTTTGAAATCATTGTTAAGTCCAAAGCATAAGTGTAATAAAAGGGACCAATTATATATTAACTTAAATTTTAAGCAGGTGGATAAATAAATACTAGGCATAAATATATATAGCTCTTCATTTACGCTCTAGACTAACTATAGTTTTAATTTTATTAAATAATAAAATATCTTTTAATTAAAAATTAATAATATAAAAATTATATTTAAGACAAATAATATTAGAATATTTTTCTTCAATATATTTTTCATGATGCTTTTATTATATTTATTATATTTGTAATAATTGTTAAAAGATTTAAATATAAATTATTTAATCAACAATTCACTTTGTTTTATAAAATTTTTACTTAAAAAAATTATATTAAAAAAAATATTTATAATATAAATAATAAAACTATATATTTATTTTTTATTAATATTAAATTAACTATTGTACAAATAGCTTAATCACATCAAATGCTAAGCTATTGCTAAAATTTATACCGATCATTTTCATATTAAATTTAAAATTTTATTAATCAGAATCATAACACGTAATAAACTTATAATTATATAATAGTAGTTAAATCGCAAAACCTCACGTCATTTTACGTCATTTGCAATAACTTTTTTTTAATACTATATTCTAATTTAATAGAATTAGAATGCTAAAATTAAATAAACGAACTAGACAGTCTTGAGAAGCTATTAAGAAATGTTAAAAACAAGAAAAAGGTTCTGAAGAACTATCAGATGCTAAACTAGATGAGTTTGATGAATTATGATTTGGTACTTTTTGGATAGAAGGTGAAGAAACATATTTTGATAGTGACAAAATTACGGATGGAATGCAAGCATGAAAGTCAAATATACTAAAACAATTGATCGAAAGTGCAAAATCGCATGTATAGGCTGTAAATTCATGTGGGCCAGTATATAATAGTGATGCAAAGTTAACATTACGTAACAAGAGAACATATTAGCGAAAAGCAGCTTCAGATTCTAAGAAAATTACTTAAATGTTTTTAATAAATGAAACTGCTGAGCCTAATATAGATAATGATGATCTCGCATTTGATGATATATGTAACAGCAGTGATAATAAAATAATAAATTCATCTTAGAATCTCTAGATTTGTTGTTAAAAAAAGAATGATGATTTGCAGCTTCGAATGGTAAGTCAATTTCTCCATTTAATCTAGGATCAAGGATATAGCAAAAAGGATGCAAGTAATCTTCTTATCTAGAGCTTGAATAAAGGTCTATAGCAAGCGAGGCTTATCTACTTATGAATGAACTAATGACTTAATAATGACACAATTATTACATCTAAACGTGAATATCATGTAAAGATCAAATCTCTTCTTTTGCATGAAAATGTTAAATTGCGAGTTACTGAATATTTATGTGCATATAAATTCAAGTTAAATGTTGCTGGTTTCATAAAATTTATTGAGAATGAGATTATCCCTGCCTTTAGAATAGAAGAAAAGATGAGTATTTCACATTCAATTGCACGTGAATGGTTACATATTCTTGATTGGCAATATAAAGACCACTTAAAGAACATTTACTTTGATGGTCATGAACATGAAGATATAGTTGCAAATAAAGGTTAATTTTTACAATAATAAGCAGAATTACGAAAACGAATTGCTATTTATAAAGGCAATAATTTAGATCAAATTATCTTACCTGTACTTCTACACAGTGTTCCTGAGATTGTTTTAGTTACTCATGATAAATCAATTTTTTATGCCAATGATAATATTGTTAAAGTTTGGATTCTGGCGAATGAGAATAGACTTCGTCATAAGTTACAAGACCTTAGTATTCATATAAGTGACTTTTTTTGTGAATCTATTAGATGACTTCAGCTTTTAGAAGAGGATTATTTTGCTAAAAATTTACTTCCTGATGGTGAGCAGCTTGTGTATACTGAAGCTTGCATTATAATATATCCTGATACAAGTCGTAATAGCTGGTGAACAAATAAAGATGTTGTTAATCAGGTAAAAGAGTAGGCTATCCTAATATTTGAATGTACTCATCCAAGAAAAATCACACTGTTTATGTTTGATAATAGTTGCAATTACAATACATTTGCTGATGATGCATTGATATTTTCAAGAATGAACATGAAAGATAGCGGCAAATAACCACTCTTCTATAATGGTAGAATGCCTAATAGCTCACCTTATATCATGACATTCACAAATATTAATAGTGTAAAGCCTAAAGGTATTTGACGAGTTCTTAAAGAGTGTGGTTTATAAATACTAGGTTTGAAAAAAAATGTAATATGTGTACACAACATAATTCCGATTTAATTAAGCTAGACTGTTGTATAATACATATCCTTTCTGCCCAACTCAACTTTGCAGCACAAAAGATATACCTACAAGAGGTAAGCTACAGTTAATAAGTTAATTATTCAATTTAACATAGCATTTTTTTTAAAATACTTATCTTTTAAATTATTGAGGCAGCAGGGTATATGTG